TGGTCTGCCCGACGACGCTCCCACTCCAATGCCGCCCTGTGCCCGTCGGGCGCGCCCGCTGCCCCCCATCGAGGACGGCGCCGCGCCTGGATTCGCTCGTCTTGCGGATCCACGTCCGCTTCTCGGCGCGGGGAACCTGTGAACTGGCGCCTCATCGTCGGTCGCGAACCGAATGTTGAGCCAGAGGTCAGTCTGCGCGACGAAAGAGTCGCGCTTGGGAACTGCCGTCTTGTCTGGGTGCAGCGCGTTCATTGGCCAGGCTGGGCGGAGCTGTGAGCTGCGCGTGCGTGATGGTCTCGGGGCCGTTCTTGGCATTGGCGGCCCCTTGCGGGGCAGGCTCCGCGCGCTGGTCGCGCAAGTTGTCCAGGGGCGCCCCGGGCTGACCCCTGGCCCGCCGACGCCCAGTCCACCGCGCCATGGCCGCCGCTTCCTCTGACGCAATGTCGCCGAAGGCCTCGGGGACTCTTGGGCGCGGGGGGGGGGGGGGGCGAGTCGCCGTCGTTGAAGAAGTCGGGCGTGCCGGCCTGTTCAGCGCGGCCCCATGGCGAACGCGGCGTGGCCCGTTCAGCGCCTCATCGGCGCGCGCCGTCGTGTCGATGCGCGCCTGGCGGCTGACGCGCTTCGCGAGAGATTTGATGCGCGTGCATTTCCCGATCCCCGTTTTGCCATGGAACCAGTTGTCCTTGAGCTTCCTCGACTTCATCAGGCGCGCCCCCAGGCCCACCGCGTGCATCGTAGTCTGCCATTGTCATGCCGAAGAGTGTCTGCGCGGTAGCAGTGGCGTCGGCCTGCGCGAGCTGGCGCAGCGCCTTCTCCATAGGCCCTTCGCGCCACCCAGTGATTGGGCTGTTCGACTGCTCGTGGGTTTTCGTGGAGATCCACTTCGCCCGGACAAGCTGCTCCGCGCGGCGCGGGCCCTCGTCGCGAACGCAATGGGGGAGGGGCCGACCCGAGCGAGCGGGCGCGAGGGCCGCCCGACCCCTCGATCATGCGCTGGGAGGCCTTGACGTTGCGGTGGGCGTTCGACCCGCCAGACTCGCGCCGGCTGATCGTTCGCGGCGCTCCGACGCGCAAGCTCTTCGGGCAGCCCTTCTTCTTTTCTGCTTGTCCGCCATCTCGATCGCCTCGGCCGCCGCGAACTTGCCGTCCTCGACGGGGGTTGGCGAAGAGAGACGCGCGGTGCGGGGCCCCGCCCGCTGCCTTCGAGCGGACAGGTTCTGGGAGCTCGTCGCGGGCGGGGTTCTGTCGGCCAAGTCCTGCGGGTGTCGTCTGTGGGGGCTTCGCCGACGTGCTCGGATGCGACGTCCACGACGCGCCTTGCCCCGCCGCCGCCCTGCGCGAAATCGCTGAGGGGCAGCTTGTAGAAACCGGTGCCGGCAGGCGGCGTCTCCTCGCCGTGGTCGAGGATGAAATGGCCCTTCTTGTGCTGGGCCCTTACCGCGTTGACCGCCGCATCCACCGCCCTCTCCTCTCGGCGGTCATCTCGGCCGTCGCTGCGCGGAAGGCGGGCGCCGAACGCGCGGGCCGTTCGCTCTATGAGCCCCAAGCACGGCTACGTGCATCATCGTTGCTCCCAGCGGCTGTTCTATTTAGCTCGTGACTGAAGAAAACCAGATTTTGCGAGCCCCCATGCGAGAGGAAACCAAGCAACGCGCCTTGCAACGTTTCTTGAGCACCGAGACAAGAGAAACGCTTGGCCGAAGTTTCGTCAGCCCCGAGGTTTCCCCGTTGCGCGATGGGTTTCCGGTTGCGCTCGCGACCTCGCAAGCTCCTGGGCGCCCCGCCGCGCGCCCCAATGCCTGCAGTCTAAAAGCTAACACCGCCGCGCGGTGCCACTCCCCCTGGGGCGGCCGAGCCAGTCTCCAACCGCAGGTCCTCGTTCGCGTGCCAGTGCGCCCACTGGGCCGATCGGACTCTGGTGTTCAATGACACCGAGCCCACAGAACTCTTCTTGGTCTTGGCGAAGCCGCGCAAGTGCTGCCGGGGCCTGTCGATGATCCGGGCCCCGCCCTTGCAGTTGAGGACTCGCCCGCCGGGAAGTGCATGCTGGCGATTTTCGGCGGGCGTGGGCTTCGCGCGCATCTGGCGGCCCTTCTCCTTCGCGGGCTTGCCATTCCTCGCGGGCCGCTTCCCCTGGTGCGCGACGCGGTCGTGGGGCGCTCCGTCGACCTCGAGCTTGCGCGTGTTTGCCCCGTCGCGGGGGGCGCGGCGTTCCCGCTGTTCGAGCTCTCGTGCGCGAGCGGCGCCGAGTCGGGCAAGCGCGTCGCGCCTGGGCCTGGCGCCCTCTGCCTAGTGCCAAGTCGGGCCTGTCCCCCCGCAGGGGGATTTTCGACGAAGAGTAAAACATACCCCAAACATATTCCAACAAGCTCTAACAATATTCAAAACATTGCCCCCAATTTTTCCTTCAAAATAAATCGTCGAACATCCCCCTGTAGGAGGACAGGCCCGATTTGAGCCTTGTGAGACTTGGCTCCGCCCCGCTGCTCCTGGTGGGCCTGCTCGTTCTCAGCTCGCTCCGCGTGGTCAGGAGGTAGATAGTATCTGAGGTCGACCTCGTCGGCCTCGGCGTCTTTCCAAGTCCGCCCCTGTCCTCCGACGCCGGTCGGCTTCTCCTGCTGTAGCACGCCGCGCTGTCGGCGCGCGTCGTTGAATTTGCCCATGCTCTCGATCGCCTTGTGCTCTCGCCCTCGAGCGCGCGGGTCTCGGCGAGGGGGGCGTCGCCCACGACGGCGAAATGCGCGGCGGCCTGTTTCTGCAAGGGCGCCGCGGCAGCGACAGGGCCGCTGCTGACGACCGTGTGCCCGCTCTGGGGCAAGGGGGGCTTCTGGCAACATTTGTGGTTGCAGCGGCGCTTCGCCTCCAACTGTTGTGAGCTCTACGCCCTCTGGAGAATTTCGCTCCGTATCTGTCTGGGGCATTTCGCTTTGTCAAGATCTGGAGCTTTTCGCCCCTGCGTGATCTTGAGAGTTTCGGCCCCCTGCGTGATCTGGGGCATTCGCCCCTACGTGATGTGGGGAATTTCGGCCCTACTTGATCTGGGGAATGTCGCCCCTGCGCGACCTGGGGCATTTCGCCCCTTGGATCATTTTGCCCCGTACCTGGCTCCATCATTTCGCCCCGTATCTGGCTGGGGCAGTTCGCCCTTAGGTGATCTGGAGCGTTGCGCCCCTCCTCCTTCCGTCAGCTGTAGTTTGGGGGTGATGATAGCTTCAACTACCCTGTACAAGAGATGCACTTCACTTGTGCTCCATATGCGCCGCGGGCAAACGACGCGAGGGGGAACGATGAGGGCAACGGAGGGGGATTAATATAATGAGGAAGGACGGAGGAGGAGGAGGAAGGAGGAGCATGGAAAAGGTAGATCATGGGAAATGGGGTGCGAACTGGTATACATGTTTATACACATACCCACATTCTTACATATTGATATACACGGAACTTTGTTTATGCATGGGTATAATTATATTTGCCTATCTACGTATGGTTAACAAATACACAACTATACACATAATTGGATGAACGCGCTTATGTACATCTATAGGTCTGTGTGTATGTATGTATGCATGCATGCATGTATGTATGTACGTGTGTGTGTGTCTGTGTGTGTGTGTGTGTGTGCGCTCATCCTCCCTGTGATCAAAGTGTGTTGGGAATTATGTGTCTTACCTCATGGCACGCGCTAGGTATTCACATGTATGCGTGTGCGGAGGGTTGGGTTTGTATCATCGCGTGCTGAGCGACGTGTCAGGGCATATCGCCCACACAAACATTACACAGTATTTGCAACAAAGAGAGACAGAGAGAGAGAGAGAGAAAGAGAGAGAGAGAGAGAGAGATCGAGAAACAGAGAGAGAGAGAGAGAGAGAGAGATACGTAACATATATATATGTGTATATATATATAGAGAGAGAGAGAGAGAGAGAGAGAGAGAGAAACAATAAGTGCAGGGGTGGAGTGCATGCGACAGTTCCAGGGAATCCACTGATTGTGTTTCGATGGTGCTATATATAAATTTATATGTATAGGTATATGTATGTATATATATATATATATATATATATATATATATACATGTGTGTATACTTGTGTGAGGGAGAGAAGAAGAGAAAGAAAGAGAGGGAGAGAGAGAGAAACAAAAATACATAAAGAGAAAGAGAGAGAAAGAGAGAGAGAGAGAGAGAGAGACCAAGAGAAAGAGAGACCTCGAATGCTTCTTAAAAAGGGGTTTCTTGGGTGCCCCTTGAGGCCTCCTGAGGTCCTTGTGGGGGTGTCCGGGGGCTTCTTGGGCGTCTCTTGGGAGCCTTTGTTGTCGGCCTTGGGGCATTTTTCCGGGGTGAGGTTCTGAGGCCCTTCCGAGTTCTCCGTTTGCCTTTCTGGGGGCCTCTCAGGGTTTTTTGGGGGCGGTCTTGGGAACCTTTGGGGTCGTGCTGAGCGCTCTCAACTTTGAGAGACAAGCAGGGAGCCAAGCTGAAACTCATAGATCTGGACGGGTGTGGCCTCCCGGGTCGACACCCATGGCCTCCACGACGGCCCGAGAGGCGGCGCCAGGGCCCGAAGGTGACAGCGCGCCGCGCAGCGAGCGGCGCGAAGCGCGCGAAGCAAGGCCGACCGAGGCGGCCTGCTTCCGAAGGGTCTCCGGAGGCCTCCGGTGAGGCATCCCGAGGCGGCCGAAACGCACCCCAGCATGTCCGACAGCCTTCTAGTCTCGGTGCTCAAGAGACGCGGGTCAGTGCCAACGGGGGTGGTCAGCCAGAGCGTCAGACCTTGCAGGATACTACAAAGCCAGGGGTGCACTGACCCGGGTCTGCGTGCAGGATCCTGCAGGATCCGGCAGGATCTTGCAGGATCCTGCCAGGCCCGACTGGTCTGGGTTTGGATTGACCCGGGTCAGTAGACCCACGATTGTCTTCGATCTCCGATCCCGGGTCCTCGCGTCCTCACCTCAGAGGCCAGGCGTCGTCTCTGCCCGCTTCAGTCCCCCGCGCGCCGGCGCGGAGGCAAAAGCGATGCCTTCGGCGCCGACCCTCCTGCGCCCGGCCACCTCCGACCAGGACAAGAGGCTGCACAGGCGGCCCAAGGCCCCCAGCGCGGCTCGCCGTCGCCGTGGCCGTGGCCGTCGACGTCGCCTTCGTCAACGTCAACGTCAATGCCGTCGTCGAGGTGGTGGAGGCGAAGGAGGAGGAGGAGGAGGAGGAGGCGGAGGAGGAGGAGGAGGAGGAGGCGGAGAAGGGGGAGGAGGAGGAGGAGGAGGAGGAGGAGAGGAGGAGGAGGAGGAGGAGAGGAGGAGAGGAGGGGGAGCAGGAGGAGAAGACGGGATCATCAGCTGGACCATCAATACGCTGGGAACGCCCCTCGGGGCCGTCACCGCCCCGCCGCGAGCGCCGCCACCCCAGAGGGCCCTGTGGGCCAGCGCGGCGGGGGCGGCGGGCTCGCGCCCACCGGGGGTGTGCCTGCGTGCGCGTCTGGGCCTCCGAGGCCCCCCGGTCACCCTGGATGGCCTGGGCGAGCCAGGCCGGCGCGCGTGGCGTGGCGCTCCCTTCGTGGCGCGCCCCAGCGCAGGGCGAGCCTCGCAGCCTCCTCCCCTTGCACCCCCGCGCGGGGGCCGCCCCCCCCCCCACCCCCAGGTGGGACAGGGCGCTGTGCGGTCCAGGCGGGCTGGGCAGGCTCAGCCTGCGCCGGAAGGAGGAGGGGGAGGGGAAGGGGACAAGCTAGGTGCGCTCGCGTCATATCTGGCGTCCTACCCCTCCCTCCCATCCCTTACCATGGCGTAGATATCCTCTCTATTCGCAGTCGGATGTCGAGCAGGGCGGTGATCGCGAGAGGGTACGCGATGCATGGTAGAGCACGGCATGGCATGGCGTAGAAGAGCACGGCAGAGCGTAGGATACCACAGCATGGCGTGGCATTGCGCACAGAAGCATTGCATCACACAACGTTGCAACACAAAGCATGGCATCGCACAGCGACGCAGAACAGAACACCGCTGTCATGGCATGGCGCCGGGTTCCTTGGAGGGTAAGTGGATCGTCGAGATGTTTGGGCCGGTCTGGAGTCGTGGCTCCATGTCTGGCTCCTTAGGCTCTCCGATAAGCTCCCCACAAGGCGGGGCTGATGAACAACACCCGCTGGCTCTGCTTCCAACGTCCCCTTCTCAAAACAGACATGGGGCACCCGCTTTATACTTCCTGAAAACGGTGACGCCCCAAACTGGCCCCCCAAATCAACGAATCGACACCGAATGTGGAATCACTTCCGATGGTTTTTTCGGGGGGGCATTTTCTAGATCTTGGAGCCTATTTGGAAGGACCGAAAACGCGCGCGCTGCAGCGGGAGCTCGATTTGGAGCAACCAGAGGCGCAGAACTGGGGCCAGCGCAACAGCGGGAGCAACATTTTGAAAACAAAACCAAGCGCAAACCCAACTGCTGGGAATCCTGTGTGTTGAGAAACAGTACGCAGAGGGGGGCCGGACATCTTCCAGACGTCATCAGGGGAGGGAGGAGAGTAGTATTCATATTGTGTTCTTGTGAAGGACGAAGAAGGGCGGCAGCCGTAGCAGGAGCAACTGCCACTCGCGACCACGATTCCGGTCAAGGCGACGACCTGGGTGCTGACCCTGGCGATGGCGCGCTTCGACTGCCCGGACGGGACGTGCAGGCGCAGGACCCGCGTGTCCCCACCCTCCGCCGCCGTGGGCCCCCGCGACTCGGGCTCGTGGAAGGCGCGGCCGCCCTGGCGCCCTGTTCGTTATCGACGCGGACCTAATAGGCGGTGCCGCAGAGCTCCGGGCGCTCTGCGCCAGCTCGCGGAGCGGAGGGACCTCCGCGGCCAGCTCGACGTCCAGAGAGGGCGCGAGGCCCGCGCGCGGCCGTCCTGGCGCCCTGTCGGCTCGACGCGCACCTATAGGTGGTGCCGAAGAGCTCCGGGCGCGCTGCGCCAGCTCGCGGAGCGAGCGGACCTCCGCGGCCAGCTCGACGTCCAGCGAGGCCGCGCGAGGGCCCCGCGCGCGGCGCCCCCGCGGTGCAGCGGGCCTGCGCCGGCCGGGCCCCTGCGGGCTCGCAGCGCCGCGGGGGGCGGGGGGGGCCCTTTGCGGGCGCGGCCGCTTCCTGGGCCTGGGCCGCCGCCCCCTGGGGGGGGCTCCTCCTCCTCCTCCTCGTCCTCCTCCTCCTCCTCCTCCTCCTCCTCCTCCTCCTCCTCCTCCTCCTCCTCCTCAGGGCGTGGCGCGCCGTCGAGGGCGGCGGCCGCCTCCCTGTAGGCGGTGGCCGCGGCCGCCCTGGCGGCGGCGGCGGCCTGCGGCTCGGCCCCGTCGGCCTCGAGGTGGTCGAGGGCCTCTCGGGGGCGGAAAAGAGGGGGGGTGAGGACCAGGGGGGGGTGGATATCATTCTGGACGCCCGAAATGGGTACGGAAAGAATGGGTACAATGCCCAACTGCAGTTCCTGCTCATTTTGAACAGGACTCGCTGTCCACGCCGCCGCGGCCTGTGTCCATTCAAGACAGGTGGCCGCCTGCCCAACAGCGGCCGCTGTTGGTTTGGGACAACATTTGTTGTTGGGCATTGTACCCATTCTTTCCGTGCCCATTTCGGGCGTCCAAAATCATGGCGGGGGCCAGGAGATCTCCCCAGATGTCACGGCGCCTCTTCTCGTTTCATTGCGTCCCTGGCCCCCCCCCCCGCTGGGACGCGCACGTGCCGCCGGTCATGATTTGCAGCCCTTCCCCCTCTTGGACACCCCCCTCGTGGCCGCTCCCGAGTCTCCCAGACGACATCCGCGAAGCAGCAGGCGCTCCGGTTGCTCAGGTCAGGCCGGCAGCTGCCACCGGAGTTCCCGTTGGGCGGGGTCGGCGGCCAGCCAGGCGGTGCCCGGTGCTCGGTGTGTTCCAGCCGCGGGCGGGGGCGGCAACTGCGGCGGGGAGGGTCCACCGGCCCCAGGGCTGGAGCGCGGGACGGAGCGGCCGCACACCGCCGGCGCGGTGAACCTGGACCTGTCATCGCGGCCCCCGCGGGTCACGGCGGCTGCGCCCGCGCCACGGGGCTCCATCTCCAGCCGACCTTCGCCAGAGGTCACGGCTGTGGCTCCGAGAGCTTGCTCGCGCAAGGGCGCCATCGCGAGAAGCTCGGGGCACAGCGGGTATCAACGGGGAAGGAAGGAAGAGCCTGGTGAGAGTCGTCACCCCGCGCCGCCATCCACGCGCTTCCCGGGAGGGAAGCAGGAGGGGGGAAGGGATATAGCAACAGCAGCGGCAGCAAACATCGTCACTTTCGCGCTCGCGCCCTCCATGGGCCGAATACGCATAATCCGTCCCGAGTACGTGCGCCTCACGGCGTCGAATCATCAGAACGCACGTTGCACGAGCGTTTATCTATCAGAAGGTCCAGGAGGGAGAGGAAGGGCAGATGGGGGAGCAGGGAGAGAGAGAGAGAGAGAGAGAGAGAGAGGAAGGAGAGGGAGGAGGAGGGGGCTAGTGCTCGGCACCTATGCTCGCCTCTGAGGCTCAGCACCTAGCTAACGCACGTTGCACGAGCGTTTATCTATCAGAAGGTCCAGGAGGGAGAGGAAGGGCAGATGGGGGAGCAGGGAGAGAGAGAGAGAGAGAGAGAGAGAGAGGAAGGAGAGGGAGGAGGAGGGGGCTAGTGCTCGGCACCTATGCTCGCCTCTGAGGCTCAGCACCTATGCTCGGCTACTGCGGCCAGCGGCGGTGCTCGGCACCTGTGCTCGGCCAAGAGGCTCGGCTCCTGCGCTCGGCAGCCGCACAGAGGAGGCGGATGATGATGAGAAGGAGGAGGAGGAGGAGGAGGAGGAGGAGGAGGAGGAGGAGGAGGAGGAGGAGGAGGAGGAGAAGAAGGAAAATGAGGAGGAGGAGGCGGAGGAGGAGGAGGAGGAGGACGAGGAGGAGGAATCTCCAGGTTTCAGCCTCCGCCTGCCAGCACCCACCATCCGTCGACGCCCACTTCCCCACCTCCGCGACTCCCGAGGGCTCCGGCCCCACCGCGCTGCCCTCTTCGGGCCGGTCTCGCTGGACCGTCGCTCGGGGGCGGAAAAGAGAGGGGGGTGATGACTAGGGGGGGGTGGATATCATGGCGTGGGCCATGATATTTCCCCAGATTTCATGGCGCCTCTTCTTATTTCATTACGTCCCTGGCCCCCCCGCTGGGCCGCGCACATGCCGCCGGTCATGATTTGCACCCCCCCCTCTTGGACACCCCCCTCTTGGCCGCTCCCGAGTCACCGCCCGTTCGCTCGTTCGCTCGTGTCGTCTGGAGGGACGTTTGGGCTCCCGAGCCCAGGCGCTGCAGGACGTCTCCGTGCTGCAGCAGACGCTGGCGCGCCCGTGCGCGCGCGCGCGAACGGCTGGCTCTGCTGGGTCGGTGGGCGGGCGCTTGGTCCAGGAGGAGGACGAGGGTTACCAGCCTCGAACGTATCCCTATCCCTAAGACTGACACGCCAAAAGGCGATGACAATCTTAGGGATCCGCCCTCAAAAAATATGGGAACCCCTGAGATTGGCATCGTGATGAGGAGGTGCCCAGCATAGGGATGGGGATATGTTCCAGGCTGATATAAGAGGGTTGAGGGTCGAGGAGGATCGGCGGCGAGCGAGGAAGAAGGCCTTCTCGCAGGGCGATGGGGCCTCTCAGAAGGCCTTCCGAGAGGTTCTCTGCGTCCTCGGGGAGGGCGCAGAGACCTGCTCGGGAGGCCCGAGGCCTTCCGATGCCTCTGGGGAGGCCTGCCCCTTCTCACCGGGGGGCGCGCCGCCGAGAGGAGGAGGGGGGCGAGGAGGAGGACGAGATTTGAATAGGAGGAGGGGGAGGAGGAGGAGGAGGAGGAGGAGGAGGAGGAGGAGGAGGAGGAGGAGGAGGAGGAGGGGGAGGGGAGGAGGAGGAGGAGGAGGAGGAGGAGGAGGAGGAGGAGGAGGAGGAGGAGGAGGAGGAGGAGGAGGAGGAGGAGGAGGAGGTGGAGGCCAGCGTAAGCCCGAGACTCATCAACGATATTTAATCAAATCCTCCCTCTAAGCTCCCTCCTTGTCGGCCCCTATAGTGGTGAATCTCAGCTGAGGCAGGTGCCCCGTAGGGAGACAGCTCGAAGATCCTGAAGCGTGCCAACACCCCATTCTTGGGACTCCAGCGCCACGAATCAACTTGGCTGTCACGTCTTGACACCCTGAATCGTGCTAGATCACAATTCCTGGGACTTGAGCGCCGCGAATCAACGTAGTTGTTGTGCCCTGGCAGTCCTGAATCATTCCGGAACACAGAATTTTTAGCCCGTTGACCATGCGTACCCGTGAAGCTTTTGCAAATGTTTGAAACGAATGTGCGGGGAGCTGAGGCGAGAACCACATGTCGAAAAGGAGCCGCCCTAATTCCGCGAAGCCCTTGCCAAAATTTATAACGAGTGTGCGCGGCGCTCAGGCGAGAGCCACATTTTGAAAACCACCCGCCTTCAATCCGTGAAAGTCTTGCAAATGTTGAAAACGAATTAGCGCGGCGCTTCGGCGAGAGCCAGAATCTGCAAGCGGCCCGCCTTCCATCTTTGAGACTTTCGCTAGTTCTTAATATTCAGGATCATAGATGGTAAGGGAGTCGAAACGCCCGGGCCGCCCTCCCGACTGGCTTCGGGGTCCGATAGGGAGGAGTTATCTATAAGCAGAAGGAATGGATGAGGACGAGGTGGAGGTGAAGGTGGCGTGGGATGGAGAGAAGGGGGACGAGGAGGAAGAAGAGGAGGCGGAGGAGGAGGACTATGGGGATCACCAGAGACGTACCATTGCACAGAGAAGGCAGCAACACAATCACAGGGGGCTTACAATGCGTCCTAGCACGGCTCATCTTGCATGCACCGAGTCTACCCTCTGCAATCAAAGCATGCCTGCGTCACAAACTGCCGTCCCAGTGGGAAGTGCCACATTTAAGTGACAGATGCCTAGTGAGCAACACGACTGGACACACATCGCAGCCTGGGCGAGTGATCCGTCTGCTCCAAGCGTAGCGTTAAACATTTCATATAACGACGCACCACAGTAGTGCCGCCATCGCAGCTCACGCACGCAGCGCCGTGTTTAGATAACGAGGCCACAACTAAGGGAGCTGTAGTCGTTGCCCACGCCCCTGGGGGTCCACCGGCTTCGACACCCCTCTCGAGAGATCGGCGATACCATGTGAGCAAGACAAAAAAGCGGGGTCGTCTGCGCCGACATTGGCGCGTAAGCTGCCCGCGTAAGGTTGCGCGTAAGCGCCCTCGCCTCCATGGTGGCGTGCCGCGCGGGCGGCCCGCGTAAGCCACCGCGTAGGTCGCTACGTCATCTCGCGTAAGACCTGCGTGTTGATCGTCGCCCATGTGTTCCCCCAGGGGGCAAAGGAACACAGCTCCACTAGTTATGGCTGGGCGGCCGTTGCGGTGCGAGCGAGGCAGGGGGAAACGGCGGCGAGCAGCGAACAAGAGTCGCCATGAGGAAAGAGATCCTGGCGGGGAAAAGGGTACCTGAGGTTTTTCGTCGTTTTCGGGCTCGCGCACATCCCCGGACTCCGGCGATGCAAAACATGCCCTGGGACGAACGAAGACGTTCCGTGGAAAGCCCCAAGGGTAGAAGACCAACATTCCCCAGGGCCCCCTTCCGTCATGTCAAGGCAAGCGCGAGGCTTGGCGTCGGAGTGCGAGCTGTTTTCGACTGGGGCCTCACCGACGTTTGGAGTCATCGCAGTGGGAGAAAAACGTGTGTCGCCGCGCCGTTTGTTCCGACGCGCGGCCTTGCATCTTGGGGAGGGCGCTGCGGCCACCAGAGCATACGCCACCTCGGGCGCGCTGGGCTCGCCGTGGGGTTTGCCGCGTTGCCGGCATCGTCCGCTCGGGACGCGGGTCAAGGCTCAGCGGCGAGCGAGGGGGGGAAAAGAGAGAAGGAAGAGGCCTTCTCTGAAGGCGGCGGGGCTTCTCAGAAGCCTTCTGGCCTTCTGAGAGGTTTTCTGTGTCTTCGGGGAAGACTTAGAAAACTTCTCAGAAGGCCGGGGGACTTCGAGCGCTCTGAGAAGGTCCGCCCCTTCTCACTTGTCACCTGGGCTCGCCGCCGAAAGACAAACGGCGCAGCGATATGGCAAGGCGAGCACGGGGGGGCAGGAGGAGGAGGTGGAGGAGGAGGAGGGGGAGGAGGAGGAAGAGTAAACGTACGAGTAATAGTAACTATCCCAGGACGTTGTCCTAAACGAACCCTTTCGCCTCCCCGAGCTCAGTGGGCGATGACCACGGAGACCTGAAGCGACGACGCCTGCAGGAAAGGACAAACTCGAACAAGATTTCACCACATTACAGGTACATAATCACGCCGTCTGGTAGCTCCCCCCGAGTGCAATGCAATGCAGACTGATGGCAATGCTGACGCCGCCCGTCTCACCCAGAACTGAATCCAGAAGGCTGCGACCGTCACACCAGCACTCTCACCAACATACAAAGCTGAAGCGAAAATTAGAACACACTGAATCTGTGTGCCGAAGTGGACATTGCTGACGAAACAGAAGGATGAACACGGCCGCGCTCTTCACCATTATTGAGTAAAAGGGCCAGCGCCGTAAAGACGATGGCGTCGAAATCTATACCTGTCGACTGCTCCGTGGCCAGGCCCATCCTGAACCCAGGAGCTGTACACGCCCTCCTGGCCAAGCCGCGAGCGCGTTGCGTATACACCGCTGCTGGGTTCAGGATGGGTTCGGCCAGGGAGCAGCGGATATGTATAGGAGCCTGTTTCTTCATTCTTCATTGCTGGGGCATAACGCGTGTAATGCCCCCCGCCCCGCCCCCCCCTCCCATAACGTAACGCTCTGGCCCCCAGTGCGCCCCCGGCACTGCTGCCGTGCGCGTAGGTATCCGCATAGGAATCCGAATAGGGATCTGCACATGCATCCGCACAAAAATCCGCATAGGGATCCGCATGGGGATCGCATAGAGATATCCATTGGGATGCACATAGGGAACCGCATTGGGATTTCCAGGGATCCTCATAGAGATCCGCATAGGGATCTGGACATGGATCCGCTTAGGGATCCGCGTGGGGATCCGCATAGGGATCCCCAGAGGCATCCGCATAGGGATCCGCATAGGAATCCGCAGATTCATCCGCATAGGGATCGGCATGGCAATTCGCATTGGCATCTGCATAGGGATCCGCATATGGATCACCATAGGCATCCGCATAGGGATCCGCATAGGGATGCGCATAGGGATCCCTAGAGGGGTCCTCATAGGTATCCGCATAGAAATCCGCATCGAGGCGGTGGTCGAGGGCAAGTTGCGGTGGTCTCAGGCACTTGTGGCGTTCGTAGGAGAAAAAACAATAGGAGGAGAAGGAAGGGAAGAAGAAGGAGGAGGAGGAGGAGGAGGAGGTTGGAGGAGGGAAGTGAGGAGCATATCACGTGGAGGCAACGACGCCTTCACAGGCATGTGCTCGCCACAACTCCTCGTCGCTCTTGGTTGTTCGTCGTCGTCGTCGTCGCTCTTCGTTGTCGGTCGTCGCTTTCGTCGTCGTCGTCATCGTCGTCGTCGTCGCTCGTCGTTCTTGTCGTCGCCGTCGTCGTCGTCGTCGTCGTCGTCGTCGTTGTCGTCGTCGTGGTGGTCACTCGTCGTCGTCGTCGTCGTCGTCGTCGTCGTCGTCGTCGTCGTCGTGATCTTCGTTGTTGGCGTTGTTGTCTTCGGTCGTCATCGCTCGCGGTCGCTAGGCGTTGTTAAACGCTCTCGAATACTTTCGGGGGCCTTTGGAGGCCTTCAGATGACCTCTGGAAGGCTCCTGGAGGCTTCCAGATGCCTCAGGAGGTCTCCGGAGGCCTCGGGAAACCTCCGGAGGCCTCCAGAGGTGTCGCTCGTTGTCGTCGCCGTCGTCGTCGTTGTCGTCGTCGTCGTCGTCGTCGTCGTCGTCGTCGTCATCGTCGCTCGTTTTCGTCGTCGTCGTCGTCGTCATCGTCGTCGTCGTGGTCGCTCGTCGTCGTCGTCGTCGTCACCGTCACCGTCACCGTCGTCGTCGTCGTCGTCGTCGTCGTCGTCGTCGTCGTCGTCGTCGTCGTCTTCGTGGTCGCTCGTCGTCGTCGTCGTCGTCGTGGTTGCTCGCTCGTTGTCGTCGTCGTCGTCGTCGTCGTCGTCGTCGCTCGTCGTCGTCGTGCGCGCGGAGGCTGTGGTGGCGCCAGAACCGCACGGCGTGTGGGGGGGGGTGGGCGTTCCGTGGTGCCCCCCCGGAGGCTGTGGTGGCGCCAGAACCGCACGGCGTGTGGGGGGGGGTGGGCGTTCCGTGGTGCCCCCCCCCCCGCCGCCCCCCCAATAATGCCCGTTATCGCCGCGAATCAAGC